CCAAGTTCTTGAGATTAATGAAACATGATAACATATTTTTTGTAATCTTTGCAGTTCCAGGACCCCCATCAGTCACTACAGCCTTTGATGAAAGTGAGCCCAAAACATCCAATCCATCAATCATAACAAAGGACCGCAGGACTCATCTCTACTCTTTTATACTCCTTTCTCGACTCAACTCAAAATAACGGCAAACCCTCTCTTCCCACTCGAGGCTTTGCTTCCCTCCTCTTTTATTTAAAAACCCCATACAACTGCAGACCCTCTCTTTCAGTTAGAAGCTCCGCTTCCCTCTCCTTCTTTTGAATTTACTCCCTTACTCATCACGTCATCTTCCTCAGCTATCTCTTTTCCCTTCCTCTTCCGATAGTAAGTTATTTTATACTTATCAATACTTCCCCCAACAAAACCAAGCTTGCCTCCAGCTTGTAACTTGGAAACTGCTCCACGAATTGAACATAAGACATCCAAGAATTCTCCTCCATACTCTTGTTGATCCAAGTCACCAACAACTCCAGTCTCCCACGAGAATCATAACGCTTATCAATCACATCTGCCGGAGTAAGATCCTCCTGACTCCCACTAAGGCATACTCGAGGAAGATCCAACACCTTATCGTGGGGGGCTCAAAGCCAGCTTGAGTTGAGAGACATGAAAGACTGGATGAATGCGGGACTGAGCAGGTAACGAGAGCTTATAAGCTGCTTTCCCAATCCGTTCTAACACCTGGTATGGACCATAAATTTTCGCCGGAAGTTTCTGGCAAAAACGCTGTACTATAGTGTGTTGGCGATACGGACGTAGTTTCAAGTATACCATATCACATACTGAGAAATGTACATCCCTCCGATGCTTATCAGCCTGGTCTTTCATCATCTGTTGAGCGCGCTCCAATGTCTTCTTCAACGCACATAACATCTCATCTCGCTCCAATAACTCCTGTTCCAACTCAAAGTTTCGCGTAGACCCCGTCTCAAATGGTAACAATGTGGGAGGGTCCCGGCCATAAACGACTTTAAAAGGTGTAGTTTGTTACGAGTTAAGGAAAGTCGTGTTATACGTTTCGACCAAGTACGCGGGTGCTCTGAAGCAAAACAACGTAAATACGTTTCCAAACAACGGTTTAACACTTCAGACTGACCGTCGGTTTGTGGATGGAACGCGGTACTATACAGCAGTTTTGTCTCAGCAAGTTTAAACAGCTCTGTCCAGAAAGCACTTAAAAAAATGTGGTTTTTGTCGGAAGTTATGCTTCTTGGAAAACCATGGAGCCATACAATATCCCTGATGAACGCCTTTGCCACGTCTGTTGCTGAGAAGGGATGGTGAAGAGAACCGAAATGTGCGTATTTACTTAAGCGATCGATGACTACCAGTATCACATTGACCCCTGCCGAAGACGGTAGACCCTCTATGAAATTCATGTTTATGTCTTCCCAAATCCGTTGTGGTATTGGTAAAGGTTAGAGAAGACCAGCCGGAGGAAGAGTCGAGTGCTTATGAGTCTGACACACGCCACAATTTGCCACATACTCCTGCATTTGTTGATACATTTGGGACCAGAAGAATGACTGTTGAATGCGTATGACCGTTTTTAACACCCCTGAATGGCCCCCTGCTTTACTGTCGTGACACTCAGCCACGATCAAAGGAATAAACCGCGATGTGTCCGGAATAACCAACCTATGTTTGAACCAGAGACGACCTTCAATCACCTGTAACTTATCAGAACGTACTGTCCCCTCTCGAACCTTCTTCACCATCAACTGAATGTATTGATCACCAGCTAATTCCTTGTCTAACTCCTGCCATTGTAAAGCTGATGGAATGGTAACAGATAGTAACATAGACAAGGCATACATAGAGCGAGATAATCCATCTGCAGCTTTGTTNACCAGAGACGACCTTCAATCACCTGTAACTTATCAGAACGTACTGTCCCCTCTCGAACCTTCTTCACCATCAACTGAATGTATTGATCACCAGCTAATTCCTTGTCTAACTCCTGCCATTGTAAAGCTGATGGAATGGTAACAGATAGTAACATAGACAAGGCATACATAGAGCGAGATAATCCATCTGCAGCTTTGTTCTCACATCCAGGTTTATAAAAAATCTCGAAATCGAACCCCAACAACCGAGTAAGCCACTTCTAATACTCTAATTCACATCTTTCTGTTCCAGCAGATATTTTAGACTTCGATGATCCGTATGAACTTCGAACCTGCGACCAATCAAATAATGTTTCCATTTCCTGACTGCCATCACTATCGCCATTAACTCCCTCTCATATGCTGGCTTGAGTCGCTCCATGTATGTTAACGCAGGACTAAAGAATGCTATCGGTTGCTTGTCCTGCATCAACACAGCTCCAACTCCTACCCCTGAAGCATCAGATTCTAGCACAAACGTTTTGTCAAAATCCGGTAAAGCTAACACTGGTGCTGACACCATTGCTTACTTCAACTTATCAAATGCCACCTGAGTTTCCCTGGACCATTCAAACTGATCTTTCTTTAACAAAGTAGTCAACGGACGAGCTAGCACCCCATAGTTTCTAATAAACCGTCGGTAATAACCAGTTAGACCCAAGAACCCACAAAGCTGTTTGACAGACTTTGGAGTTGGCCATTGTAACATAGCATCCGTCTTTGAATTCTCAGTTGCTACTCCTTGCGCAGATATGATGTGACTCAAGTACTCAACCTGAGGAACTGCAAAAGTACACTATTTAAGGGTAGCAAATAGTTGTTGTTCTCTCAACACTTGAAACATCAGACGTAGATGATCCAAATGATCAGAAGGGGTCTTGCTGAAGATCAGGATATCGTCAAAGAAAACCAATACAAAACTCCTCAAGAACTGCTTGAAGACTCTATTCATCAGCGTTTGAAATGTCACTGGAGCATTAGTTAAGCCGAATGGCATGACTAAAAACTCATAGTGACCCTCCAAAGTTCGGAAAGCAGTCTTCTTGATGTCTTCCTCCACCATCCTGATTTGATGATAGCCTGAACGAAGATCCAGTTTAGTGAACACTGAAGCTCCATGTAGCTCATCCAGAAGTTGATCAATAACAGGGATGGGGTATTTATCTGGAATGGTGGCTCTGTTGAGGGCTCTGTAGTCAATACAAAAAACGGAATGATCCATCTTTCTTCTTGACCAA